TACTAGCATGGGTTACTCCTCACTACTTAAAGCCTGAACCTTACTAGCATGTACTCACTAACTAGCCTGACTTACTAGCATGTACCACTGCTAGCCTGACTTACTACCATTTGTACTTCACTACTAGACTGACTTACTAGCATGGGTACTCACTACAAGTCCAGACTATACTAGCAAATGGGTACTCACTAGAAGCCTGACTAACTAGCATGGGTACTCACTGCTAGCCTGACTTACTAGCATGGGTACTCACTGCTAGCCTGACTTATTAGCATGGGTACTCACTACTAGCCTGACTTACTAGCATGGGTACTCACCACTTGCCTGACTTACTAGCATGGTACTCACTACTAGCCTGACTTACTAGCATGGGTACCCACTACTAGCCTGACTTACTAGCATGGGTACTCACTGGTAGCCTGGCTTACTAGCATTGGTACTCACTACTAGCCTGACTTACTAGCATGGGTACTCACTACTAGCCTGACTTACTAGCATGGGTACTCACTACTAGCCTGACTTACTAGCATGGGTACTCACTACTAGCCTGACTTACTAGTATGGTACTCACTACCTAGCCTGACCTACTAGCCTGTGTACTCACAACTAGCCTGACTTAATATCAGGTGGTACCACTTACTAGCCTGACTTACTAGCATGGGTACTCACTGCTAGCTGACATACATAGCACGGGTACCCACTGCTAGCTGACTTAAGCATGGGTACCACTACTAGCCCTGACTTACTAGCATGGGTACTCACTAGTAGTCTGACTTACTAGCATATGTACTCACTGCTAGCCTGAATTACTAGCATGGGTACTCACACCAGCCTGACTAACTAGCATGGTACACCACTACTACCTACTAACTAGCATGGGTACTCACTGGAGCCTAGCTTACTGGCATCGTACTCACTACTACCTGAACTTACTAGCAAGGGTACTCACTAATAGCCTGACTAACTAGCATTGGGTCTCACAGTGCTAGCCTGACTTACAGCATGGGTACTCACGTACAAGCCTGACTTACTAGCATCAGTACTCACTACAAGCCTACTTACTATCATGATACTTCACTACTAGCCTGACTAACTAGCATGGTACTCCTCAAAACCTTTTACTAGCTGACTTACATATCGCTGGGTACTCACTGGTACCTGACTTACTAGCATGGGTACTCACTGCAATCCTACTACAAGCATGGGTACTCACCAATAGCCTGACTTAAAAGCATGGGTACTCACTGCTAGCCTGACTTACTAGCATGGGCAATCACTGCTAGCCTGACTTACTAGCATGGGTACTCACTACTAGCCTGACTTACTAGCATGGGTACTCACTGCTAGCCTGACTTACTAGCATGGTACCTCACTACTAGCCTGACTTACTAGCATGGGTACTCACTAACTGCCTGACTTACAAGCATAGGTACTCACTACTAGCCTAATTAACTAGCATGTACTCACTGCTAGCCTGACTTACTAGCATGGGTGCTCACTACTAACCTGACTTACTAGCATGGGTACTCAATGCTAGCCTGACTTACTAGCATGGGTACTCACTACTAGCCTGACTTACTAGCATGGGAACTCACTACTAGCCTGACTTACTAGCATATGGGTACTCACTGCTAGCCTGACTTACTGCGGGGGGGGGGGCGGGCGGGAGGAGGAGTGGGTAATTCACTACAACCTGACTTTACTAGCATGGTACACACTACTACCTGACTTACTACATGGTTACTCACTACTAGCTTAACTTACTACAAGGGTACTCACTGCCTAGCCTGACTTACTAGCATGGGTACTCCACTGCAGCCTGACTTACTACATGGGTACTCACTAACAAGCCTGACTTACTAGCTAGCATGGGTACTCACCACTTGCTGGACTTACTAGCATTGTAACTCACACTAGTAGCCTGATTTACTCTCATGGGTAAACCCACTACTAGCCTGACTTAACTAGCATTGGTTACTCACTGATTAGCCTGGCATACTAGCATTGTACTCACTACTACCTGACTTACTAGCATGGGTACTCATTTACTAGTCTACTTACTAGCATGGCACTCACTACTAGCCTGCCCATTACTAGCATGGGTACTCACAACTATGCCTTACAAGCATGGGCAATCACTGTAGCCTGACTACTAGCATGGGTACTCACTACTAGCCTGACTTACTAGCATGGGTACTCACTGCTAGCCTGACTTACTAGCATGGGTACTCACTGCTAGCCTGACTTACTAGCACACGGGTACTCACTACTAGCCCTGACTTACTAGCATGGGTACTCACCACTTGCCTGACTTACTAGCATGGTACTCACTACTAGCCTGACATACTAGCAATGGGACCACTACTAGCCTGACCTTAACTATCATGGGTAACTCACTGGTAGCTGGCTTACTACATTGGTACTCACTACTAGCCGACTTACTAGCATGGTTACTACTACAAGTCTGACTTTACTACGGATGGGTACTCACTACTAGCCTGACTTACTAGAATGGGTACTCACTACTAGTCTGACTTACTAGCATGGGCAATCACTGCTAGCCTGACTTACTAGCATTGAGGTACACACTACAGCCTGACTTACTAGCATGGGTTACTCACTGCCTAGCCTTGACTTACTAGAATGGGTACACACACTAGCCTGACTTACTAGCTGGGTACTCACTACTAGTCCAGACTTAATAGCATGGGTACTCACTACTAACCTGACTTAACTAGCATGGGTACTCACCTGCTAGCCTGAACTTACTAAGCTAGCATGGGTACCTCACTAGTAGTCAGACCTTACTAGCATATGTACTCACTGCTGCCTGACTTAACTAGCATTGGTACTCTCACAACAGCCTGACTTACAGCATGGGTACTCACTAGTAAGTCGACTTACTTGCATATGTACTCACTGCTAGCCTGACTTACTAGCATTGGTACTCACTAACTAGCCTACTTACTAGCATGGGTACACACTGGTAGCCTAGGCTTACCACTGCATATGGTACTCACTACTTAGCCCTGACTTACTAGCATAGGTACTCCCCACTACTAGCCTTACTTACTAGCATGGGTACTGTCTGCTAGCCTGACTTATAGCATGTGTACTCACTGCTAGCCTAATTACTTAGCATGGGTACTCATGCTAGCCCTGACTTACTAGCATGGGTACTCACTACTAGCCTGACTTACTAGCATGGGTACTCACTAGTAGTCTGACTTACTAGCATATGTACTCACTGCTAGCCTGACTTACTAGCATTGGTAACACACTACTACCTGACAGTACTAGCATGGGTACTCACTGGTAGCCTAGCTTACTGGCAAGGGTACTCACTACTAGCCTGACTTACTAGCATAGGTACTCACTACTAGCCTGACTTACTAGCATGGGTACTCACTGCTAGCCTGACTTACTAGCATGGGTACTCACTGCTAGCCTGACTTACTAGCATGGTTTACCTACTGCTAGCCCTGACTTACTAGCAAGGGTACTCACTACTATCCTGACTTACTTCATGGGTACTCACTGCCTAGCCTGACTTACTAGCAATGAGTTACTCCTGCTAGCCTCACTTACTAGCAAGGGTACTCACTACTAGCCTGACTTAAAAGCATGGGTACTCACTGCTAGCCTGACTTACTAGCATGGGCAATCACTGCTAGCCTGACTTACTAGCATGGGTACTCACTACTAGCCTGACTTACTAGCATGGGTACTCACTGCTAGCCTGACTTACTAGCATGGGTACTCACTGCTAGCCTGACTTACTAGCATGGGTACTCACTACTAGCCTGACTTACTAGCATGGGTACTCACTACTAGCCTGACTTACTAGCATGGGTAACTCCATTTGCCTGACATTACTAGCATGGGTACTCACTACTAGCCGACTTACTACCTGGGTACCCCACTATTTAGCCTGATTTAAATAGCATGGGTACTCACTACTAGCCTGCTTACTAGCTGGTACCCACTCTAGTGATTTTAAAGAGGGGTACCACTCTACCTGACTTACTGCAGGTATCACTACATGATTCTACAGGGTACTCACTGTAGCCGACATAATGGGTACCACGCTACTAAATTATAGCTGGACCACCTACCTACTTAAGATGGTACTCACTCAGCTACTTACAGCAGGGGTACTCACTTAGCCTGTTTTAATGCATGGGTACCCTACTAGCCCTACTTAAGCGGGTACTCACTCTACCGATTATAAGGGGATCACTGCTAGCTGATTTACTAGCAGGTTCCTCCTACTCCCTGATTTTCACAGGGGACAAACTAGCCTGACTTACTTTTGGTACCCCTCACCTACTTACTACATGGGTACTCACTACTCCTACTTACTAGCAGGGGTATCACTCTAGCCTGACTTACTAGCATGGGTACCCACTAAAACTATTTTCACAGGGGACCACTCTCCCCCGAAACTACGGGGGTACCATTTGCAAAAG